ACGTGGTGTGACGGCGACATGTTTGAGCCACGGCTGGGTCAAACCCTGGCTCTACTGTTTCTTAGCTGTGTGACCTGGAGCAAGTTTCTTAACCTCTTTGTGCCGTAGTTTAGTCCTCTGTAGTCCTGTGAGTACCAACTTCACAGGTGGTTGTCAGGACTGAAAGAATACACGTAAAGTGCTTAGAACAGTGTGTGGCTTGTGCTAAGTGCTCTGGAAATGTCACCGCCATAATTAGGTCATGGCCCTGCAGTGGGGCTTTAGTTCAAAGACACACACACCCCTTGTACTAACATGGTTCAAAGTCCCATTCACGGGGGGCTTCCATTTCTGGTAAACTCAGTGTAAACTACTGCCTGGACCAGAACACATTGTTGCCACCGCCACACAAGGCCATCTTCCCCCTGCTGTGCCCCTGCGTCGCGCTGGAAACCCTGATTCCCAGCACCTAGTAATCGCCCCTGGGACAGAGACAACTGCCTGTGCTGACTAGAAGTCTTCCCTCCACAGCAGCATGGTGGTAGGCTCCCGCCTGCAGAGCCTGGCTCCTGAGGGGGTCAGAGATTGAGTCTAGTGCCCCAAGGACAGAAGGATTTATGTGACCCCTGTATCGATGCCAAGGACAGATACGATCTGAAGACGCTGCATAATGCAGCGGGAAGGAGTCCGTACTGCAGGGAGGGGTCTGCCTGGCAGCTGGTGGCCCTGTGCTCTGCGCCAGGCCAGGAACCACTGCAAGTTTTGGGACGGAGGTCCTCTGGGGTCTCCCTCCACCCTGCGTTCACTGGGGCCACCTACGATGTCTGGGGTGGCACCAGGCAATGGAGAGGGAAGGCCTCTGAGATAGCCAGTAGTGACCTGCAGTGGCCTCCTGAATCTCCCCGTGCTCCACAGTCACACGTGTGGTGCCGTGCGAAGTGAGGCCACTGGGCAGCAGTGGGAATCCCCACCACGCCCACTGACAGCTGCTCCGGAGAATTCAGGGAAATGTGGGAACTGACAGAGAGGGAACAGAGTCGGGTTCATTATACTAGCAATCGGGGAAGGCAGCCACAAAAATGCAGGACAGACACTGAACATGGACTTCCTTTGAAGAACAAAGGCAGAGAAACAAAGTTGGCTCACCAATGAGAATTAAGTGATAACAATGTATTGCAGAGAAATCAAACCAATCTACGCCAGCTCACTCTGAAAATTAGAGTCCTGAAGAATAACACTGAACTACGGTGAGACCTTTGCGTAGTGACACATTTACTCTAAAATGCTTTGCAAGCTGATCTTAGCCCTTGTGGAGACAAAACCAATGCACGGCCCAGGGAGATGGCTTCAGACGGCCTGGGCTTCTCGCTGCCACGGGCTCCCTGGAAGCCTGCACCGCACCCTGCGGTCCCCGGCCAGCCGGGGACAGCGAGGGTGGCTCCCACGCCAGCCTGGAGTCCTCTTGGCTGGTACAAGTGTTATGTTCTTTAGGCTCCCAAAGGCCCCAGTTGGAGTTTAAGACCTAAATTCAAGGCTCCTGGCTCTAGACAATTTCACACTCCGCTGGGCAGTGTTAGACTTCTTTTGCTCAGTCTGGGTACCAACCCTGGGAACATCTTCCAAGCCACCCCCACCCTCGACCTCTACTCAACTCAGGTAGTGTCAGGGAGAACCCATGTAGGCTCTTCGCTGGGATTTGGGAGGAGCTTGGCAGCCACAGACAAAGCTGACCCTGGTCAAGAACAGTGCAGAACCAGTAAGGCAAGGGCCTGATCCCTTTGGGTTCTAGGAGGAATCAGGTGGTACACTCAAATGGGGCAGCTGCAAGTCTAACACAGAGGCTATTTATGCAGCTGCTGAGAGTTTAGGGAAAACCTGCAAAGGAAGGCACAGTGCCCCTGGGCAGTAGTCCCTGGTCTTGGCCTAAAGGGGCAGGTGACACACCTGGGAGAGAGGGGCGCAGCAGGAACTGAGTCCCATGGAAGGAAAATGTAGCAGCCCAGCCCCAAGGTGCTGGGGAAACCAACTGGGCCTGACTCTCCCACCCTCTGCTCGCAGGGCGGTGTCTCCCGCCGACAGAATCCTGGTGGCCCAGGGAGCTGGTGGCTGCAGTCCCTCGAGAGCTAGCTGCCCCTCTGGTTGGAGAGGACAGGGCAGGGCAGAGTGGCTCTGGAGAGGCAGCTGGAACACATCCAGCTCTGGTTCATTTCCCAGAGGCCACAGCTTCCTGGTCTCCAGCCAAGTGCCGCCTTTATAGGGCCCCACTTCCCTGGCCAATTTCAGAGCTCTGCGGACTGCTGGGAACGCGTGTTTGAACAAAGCCTTTATTCTCTATTCCAACAGCAGGGCTGGAATTTAAAAAGCTTCATTTTCAAGACTTGCTGCTTTTGATTTGTCTAACCTGGAACTTACATTTTGGAGTCAAATAGATTTATTTAAACAAAGCATTTCAGTGATAACCACAAAATGTTTTAATTTTTTTTCCTTTCCTCCTCTATATAATATCCCTCCTCAAAACATAAGGGCTATTCCACGGCCAACTCTTAAGTCACAGCCTTTCCCAGCTTCCACTTCCCTGGGTCTTTGTCCCCTCAGCCCACGTCTTCCTCTGGGCTCGCCTGAGGACAGGCCGTGGGAGGGGCCAGTTCCACCTCCGACTGGGCCGAGCAACAGAGCTTCCCTCCTCTGACAGCAGTGTCTGGGTTTGGCAGAGCCGGTGCTGTCATCCAATCAGAGTTCTTTATGACTTGTACGCACGTCCGGTCTTTTTGCCCCACCCCAAACCCACTTTCCTTTCTTCTCTGCTCTACGCCCTTCTCTGACATCACCTTCTGTTCTCCGGTGAACTTCACCCCAGCCCCAAGCCTGCAGTTATCTCCTTTATCGTGTCCCTCTTGCCTTGACTTGTCTGTTATTTTTAAGTCAGAATGTTGATCAGGATTTGCATTCCTTGGAAATAACACCCATACTGTACTGTCCTAGAGATGATATGTCCCTCTGGGTCATACAGGGCCCAACCCTCATGCGGAAGCGCACAGAGGTCAGAGTGATTGTCATCAAAGCCTTGAATTTGGCCTGTTGGTCACCAAAAACCACCCTGAACCAGAAGAGCTACTTTTGTTCACAGCCATGAAGGCAAATGGAGAAAGCAAGGCCCTAGCGTCCCAAATATGAAAGAGGTACAACAGTTGTAAGACAAAGCTCAGACGCGGACTGGCCCGGGTGTGTCCACACAAATACATTAATAAATATAATGTGGAATTCCCCTCAGAAAGAGCGAGCTAAGTCTCTGTCAGAAGGCTCTGTATACATACAGTGAAGGTCTGACGGAGGAGAGCTCACCGAACACACCTGTGTGACGGAGGGCGGCCCGGCCTGATGCCGGGTGGGAGAGGGCACGGACACGGCTTCGCCTTCCGCTCAGTGCTCAGTTCTGGACCTCTGCCCAACTCACTGAGCAAAGTCACTCATTTAGGACCAAAGAGAAATGCAGACAGAAATTTGGATAGCACTCAATTTAACAAGAGAATTCCCTGTGATACAAAAGACTGCATCGTGCTGTAAAAGTCAAGAGTATTTTGAAGACAGAGCATGTTCCATTTTCAGGCCCAGCGGAGGGCAGAATCAAAGCCACCGTCTCGAGTGGCTTTTCTGCACGGAGACCAGCAGCAGCAATCCCCTCTGCCAGCAGAAGCACTAGTGGGGAAGGAAATCACCTAGCTAATGAGGCCGGGCTTCTCAGCAGGTAAACAGAAACTGCTTCTCAAAGACTGGCCCACTAAACCTGGAGAGGCTTAAAGCTCAGGAGATGGTTTACGGGCACCTGGTAAGACTCCAAGTGATAGAAAGGGAGAAAGACCTTGAAGAAGCTATGCCAATGCCGGTTTTAAAATAAGGTCTAGACAATTTAAACTACATACACTTAGGCTGTCAGATCCCCCCAGAGGAAGCACATCGAAGGCAGAATTACTCAGCCAGGGGCAACACAGGTCAGTGCTACCTGTGACCCATTCAAAAGCACAACAGCATCTTCTAAATTAATCACAAGAAGCACATCTACTGCCTTTAGCCACTGAGTGGATTTACATGCAACTAATACATGCTCAGCTGGCCAGGTGCATGTCATTTTGGAGGCCTATATGACAACCCTACATGGGATGGGGTGCTGGAATGGAACTAGGTTACTACTTTATAAAGGTAAAAGCCAATATAAATGTTCTCTTTAGAAGTGATTTGGAAGACTGAGTGAAGCATCCACTCACTCAGTTTGACTTGGAATGGCAAAATTATTTTGCCCAGGTATAGAATAAGAAACCCATAATACTAAGAGTGATTATGGATCCTGGTCTGGTAGGTCAGTTGGTTAGAGTGTTATTCCAATATACCAAGTCTGTGAGTTCAATCTCTGGCCAGGGCATATACAAGAAGCAACCAATGAATGCATAAATCAATAGAACTACAAATTGGTATTTGTCTCTCTCTCAAATCAATTTTTTTTAAAAAAGAGTAATTATGTTCTCCTCGCTGCACCCAGCCTCATGACCTTGCCCAGAGATGGGTGCCGCCCTTTGCAGTGGTGGACCAAGCTCCCAATTTGCACAGGGGCTTAGAGGGCCTTATGATATTCACTCCTTGTTAACATAAAAATTAATGTGCATGGGTAACATCTGTCTTTTATTGAGTCAATCAATACATTGGGAATTTAGCAGCAAGTTAATGACAAGCAGTTATAAAATCTCCTATTTTTCTACATTTAAATTGTGTTAAACAATCTATAGCAACCTACCATCACAAGAACACATGTGAATGGCCAAGGCACATCTGCTGTTATGCCTGTGGTAAGTTTATTAGTGATTTCCTAACAAAGTCTTTTAGTGCGAAGTGCACATCATTATTAGGAACTTCCATCACCACATGTGGCTCTCGCTTCCCCTGTAAAGAACCGTGCTGAAATCTAAGAACGTGAAGTAAAACTGGGCAGGCACGCCCACAGCCCTGCTCCAAGGGCGCCTGCTCCTCTAAACAACCCTACAAGGGCCTTGCACTGGTTTCCACCGCAGCCCCGCCATCAAGCCTGCGAGTGGCTGTCCTTCGACACCACGCTGCTTGGAGGTAACTAGCTTCAATTCTAAACTGGTGCAAGCACACTGCTAGGCTTGGTGGAGCTAAAAGCTCATGTAGCGCTGGTCCTTTACACATCCTACCCCCTCATTTTAGTACTAGGAAAAGCAGCTCTGTTTTCGTGCTAATCAGTGTTGGAGGGAACCTCAGAGTTTCTTTTTGGTTCTGGGCAGGGCGTAGGATTTAGAAGTGTATTTGTTGGTTGTTACGTGGCTGGAAGTCACAGAGGTTTTCTCTAGTTCTCCCTTGATTCCGGCTGGAAGGAGTTTGCTGGACGTGGAGTTTGTACTGCTCGAGTCCAGGTTCTCTGTGTTTCCCTTCTTACTGGTCACAGGAAGTTTCTTTTTATAAGCAGTGGGCTAGAAATAAAAGGGCTGGATTAATTTTCAGGTACAAAGCAACATACATCAATTCAAAGAAGCAAAGAAATGCAAAATTGTCCCAGATTTGCAAGCTGCACACTCTCCAGGTGTGAGATGTAAACTAATCACATTATAAAATTGTTATTATGGCACAGAAAGGCCCACTAGCACCTTCAGGAATGCAGGGTTGTTTAGTGTTTGGTGGAGAGCAAACTCGAGATACGATTTCAGACCCTTGGCCACACCAAACGGAAGCAAATGTGTGCTGACATTTGCATGGGGAAGTGCGTTTGCACACAGCCGTGCTCAGCTCGTCTTCACAGATTCTAGACACGCGGTGACATTTGCGTGGGTCCCCACAAGCCCATCACGACTAGTCTTTCTGCCCGGATACAAAGCTGCTGCACGGGCCCCCTCCTCACAGCCTCGCCGTTCTCCACACTGGGGCCAGGCGCTGGCATCTGTGCCCTGTCACACCGCGAAGCCAGGCCTGCAGGCCCCTCAGAGCCTTGACGCCTCACTGCCATGTGGGGAGAGTGGTAACTGCACATTTACTACACGAGTCTATTGTGAGAATGAGCAAGGTGGTGGCCATTAAAGTACTCTGTAGCTTCAAACCTTGAAACAGGCAGACCAGATTTTAACCGGCAACTGTGTTTTCTCAGGCCACTTCACCCCACATGGGGGAGACGGTCTCTAATGCTGTCAGGAGGGAAGCAGAGTCTATGCTGACCTTAGACCCATTCTACAGGTGATCACTTCTAATTAAATGACGCAGAGCACAGAGCTTGGAAAGAGCCGGGAGTGTCTTAGGAGGCGGACACAAGCAGCCCAGGGGCAAGACTCGAGGTGTGGTCCAGCAAGGCCTCGCGAGTGCACACAGAGTGGTTTGGGGCAGGGCTCACCAGTGTGTAATCCGGTCAAGGGAAACAGCATGTGCACGTGGTGACAGGTTAATGACTGGAAAGGGAAAGACTACATGTGACCCAAAACAATGAACCCTGGTCACTCAGGCTCCTGGGATTCAGGTGGCCATGTTTTGTGCACAGTGGCATCACTTAATATCTACGTGTCCAATGAGTAAATGACCTCCCTGGGCTGCACCAAAACTACAGGTCGTGTAAAGATTTTTGGTGCTAGCATTTCAAGAAAGAGAACATCTACCTGACAGCTGCACACCACAGAGAGCCCTGAAGCGTGTGCCTCTGCAGAGCGCCACTCTGCATGACTCGACGACAGTGTGTGCTAGTTCTTGAACTGGTAATTTTGTTCATTGAAAAATTAATTTGTATAAATTTTGAAATGTAAACAGGTCTTTTCTTCAGTTTTTTTCCCCAAGAAAATTTCTGTGTTGTTTTTGTGTATAGTCTTTCAAGAAACAGAAAACACTTAAAGTGCACTGCTTTCAGTAATGTAGGTGGTATCCTCTCACTGCAACAGGGCAAGAGGACAGCACCCAGATGTCCTGGCACAGCATCGGCATCTGGCTGAAGGTGAGGGGCTTCATCTAGCGCAGTCCTGGTCCTGAAGACATGAAATCTATCATGGAAATTTCAATCCACTTGACATACAAATCCTATTAAAAAGTGAACCTAGCTGTAACCCTCTCTGTTTGACATTTCCACCTCTAGGACATCGAGGAAACGTTTTTCAGCAGGTCCACCACAACCAATATTCTGGAGAACAGGAATAGGGACTCAGTCATCTTCTTTCTCATGCACTCATATTCCTGCCTGGTTGAATGTTCTTCCTCAGGCTCCCTTCCATTCTTCCTCAGGCTCCCTTTTGTTAATCAGTGTACTTGAGTCATTACACTAATGCTCTTACCAGAAACACACAAGGGCCTGTTTTCTTTGTTTTCAGTCTGGTATTGAATGCATATCAGTTAAAACTGATATTGTCGACCATATTTTAAAGGAGCTCCAAAGTTGGCCTAAAACTGGGTACAGTGAAATAAATCACAATATTTGTTCCTCTGCTCCCTGGTAACATCAACGCAAACCCACTTACCTTTATGCGAATGTTTACCGCTTACCAGCTTCTGTGCGTATGCGTGCTTTTTGTTAAACATTGTATGTGTGTACGCTTCACCATGTCTCTCTGATGATAATTTGCACTTGCATTAACTTTAGGAAGCAGAGTTGTAAGAGCTTTCCTAAAGACTCCTCTTACATTTCCTCCCGTTGAGACTGCTCTCCGACACCAACCAAACACGGGCACAGGCCGGTCCTCATGCAGCCCTTCGGGCAAGGCGTTAACTTTCTTCACCAAGAGCCACGTCTCTCATCTCCTTGGAACATAACCAGCCAAGGCAAATTCTGGTTTCTAGGTTTTTCTCTAGCAACATGAACAAATCTTAATTTTTCAGGGATACAGAGTTTAGGTTATAGATTATCTAAATTTAGCTCTCTGTTTTTCTGTTCTCATAGTTGATGGAATTCCTCGAAGGTCTGCCACTGATACAATTTGACAGTTTTATGAGTCACAGACAGAGAAAGCGAAAGTGGAACTGCCAAGGCTACAGGAGTTACTGGGAACTTGCAGGTCATGAAAGACACACAGAAGGTGAAGGGCTCCTATAAGCTCGTACAAAGGGGGAGAAGACAAGAGAGGAACATCACTGTTCAGGTCTAAGGGGAAGGAGTCTAAAGGATCATTATGAGACTGTTGGCCATCATCCTCAGTCCAAGAAAGAGGATCTACAATAAAAATCACTAGACTAAACCCTGAAGATGCTGGTATACTACTGCACAGTGACCAAGAAAGCACCTTCAAAATCAAAGAAAAAAAAAACTTCTATCCTTATACAAAATCATGGAGAATTCATACCCATAACACTGCAACTAGCTTGAACAGAAAAAAGAGACCAAGAAGGTTTATAGACAGGCTACTAATCTGATTAGTGGGTGGAGGTTTCTTTGTAAGAGGGTTCTTCAGTCTCAAAAATATACAGAACTGGAGGACCCGTGTAATCACAATCCATAAAAGGTTTCAGCACCAGAGCTGGACCGCATCTTGGAGTGCAGCTGGCTGGCAGGAAGGCCACGTCGGGGCAGCTCTGCCATCACTCCTCCCTCCGATGGAGCCTCGCCTGAGGAGCCTCGCCCTTTGGGACTGCTGAAGGACAGCCAGGCCTCCCAGAGGCAGAATGATGGAAAAGATGACCTTAAAAGGTTCCCTGCAGCTCCATCTTTTAGTAACTCAGCACCCTTGCCCTGCTTTCTCCAGCTCATATTACCAGTCTGGAAAAGAGGGCATCATGTGTGCAAGGGGAGGTATGTAACAAGAAAACTGGGCTAAATATACATATTTCATTATTCACTGGCATGACTTTAACCTGATGAACTCATCTAGTGATAATGGATGCAAAACCTGTGAGCTCTTGGCTTATCCCTGAAAGCTAATACCAGTGCATGATTGCTAGAAACTGCTACCACTTCTCTGAATTTTGAGTAAAATATATGCTATTTAAGTAAAGTGGTTTATCACCATAGCAACCATTTCTAGAGTCACACATTCAAATAATAGGCCTGCACAAGGTGCAAGTGACAGAACACTCTGATACAAGTTTCCCGCCACACCATCAGCTGCAATGGTCACCCACTTTTGCTCCCAGTCCTCTGCTTTTCAGAACGAAGGAGGAAGGGAAAGACAAGCAAAGGGAAGAAGAGAAACTGACTTCCAAATACACAGATTTCTTGTATAAGCCTTCTCACATAAAAAGCTGAGTCCTGTATGGAGTTAATGAAAATAAAAACCAGCTTGCAAGTTAGAGAGATGTAAACATCTCTTTTTAATTAAAGTATAATTTACATACAGTAGAATGAACAAGTTTCAAGTGTACAGTTTTATGAGTTTTGACAATGCACAGACCAGTATACCCAACACACTCATCAAGAAGTAGAGCAACTTCCTAGAAAGTCCCCTAGTGCCACATCCTCGTCAACTCCCTTCTGTCCTGGGGCTGTAAGTGTTCTGGTGTTTTTCAACATAAATTACTTTGTCTTTTCTAAAACTTCATATAAATGAAATAACATACAGTATGCATTTTTAGTTTTCAACTTCTTTTGCTTCATGTTTTAATTGGAATTTTCATTAAGATAATAGATTCTATACCCTGACTGATGTGGCTCAGTGGAGTGGGTGTCATCCTGCAAACCGAAAGGTCACCGGTTCCGTTCAGAGTCAGGGAACATGCCTGGGTTGTGGGCCAGGTCCTCCGATTGTGGGTGCTGTGAAAGGCAACCAATTGATGTTTCTCTCACATGTCGATGTTTCTCGCCCTCTCTTTCTCCCTCTCTAAAAATAAAATCTTAAAAAAAATAGATTCTCATGGTATTATATCATGTTTTTGAGATTTGTCCATGATTTAATATTTTTATTGTTAAGTAATATTTGATTGTATGTACATGTGGTATAATTTGTTTATCCATTCTTCTATTAATGGATATTTGGGCTGTTGCCAGTTTGAGGTTGTTTATATATAAAGCTGCTATAAACATATTCTAGAAATCCTTTTTCAAACTTCCACTTGGGATTTGCTGGGTAAATGGTAAGTAAATGCTTCACTTTATAAATAACTGCCAACTGTATTCCAAAGGAATTATGCCATTTTGTATTCTTATCAGCAATGCAGAAAAACTCCAGTTGCTCAAATATTTGCTAAAAGTTGGACTTTCCAGTCTTTTTAAATTTGACAATTCTAGAGTATACTATTATATCATTATGGCTTTTCCTGATATCACTGTATTTTCCTGATGACTAATGATCTTGTACACTTTTCATATGCTTATTGACTTCTTGTATATCTTCCTATCTGAAGTGTCTGTTCGAGACATGGCTATTTTCAAAATTGGACTGCCTTATTATCATTGACTTGTAGGAATTATCTTCACATACTGGATACAAGTCCCTCATCAGATATATTTATTGCCAATATTTTCTCCCTGTCTGTGGCTTTCCTATTCCTTTTCAATATCTTTTAAATGAACAAATGT